GAGGCACCGTTAACGAGTTATTAACGAAAAACAGAGACCAATGAGAGATCGCGCACGGCTGACGTTCCGCCCTCGCGACCAATGTCGCTGCGTCGGACGGCCGGCGCGACGCGGCATTGGCCGCAAGGGCGGAGCGCCGGACGCACTGGTTCTCCGATTAGTCACTGTTTTTTGTTAATAACTCGTGAACGACGCTTTGCAGAGAATTTTCGTAAAGGAGAAAGTTACATGAAATGATCTCAGGAATCACTCCCTTCCAGGAGAGCAGCTGACGCGTGGCAGTCAAGCCAATGAACGGAACTGGGCTTCGCGCGCTGGTTGGATAGGCCACCTTGCGTCAGCCGTACTCGATTCTTATTGGTCACTGTTTTTCGTTAATAACTCGTTAACGGTGCCTCGGAGAACATTTTTGTAAAGGAAGAAGTTGCTTCGAATGATCCGAGGAATCCGCCATTTCCGGATTGCGAGACATTTTTGGGACACCCTGCAGACTGTTGTAAATCGATGCGAAGACAAAAGAAGTGTGAAACAATGCATATGAAGACGATTATTTGATTCAAACGATGAGCGAGTGAGCTACTAGAGATGACATCCGCGCAAGCCACTATAGTGGCGTGTCGTTCTGAAAGATGACATCCGCGGAAGCCACTATAGTGGCGCGTCGTGCCTAAAAGGTTAAAGGGTGTACCTTCTCAATCGCAATTTCTGTAATCATCATGTTCCGCGGCCGAGTGTACATTGTGCACACCAAGGCGGTATAAACAGCCGATAATGTCTTTCCGAATTAAAAATTGCTCGTGTACACTCGTGGTTCTTAATTTACCGTTCTTCGAGGGCTTAGCAAATAGCTCTTCGCCTAGTGTAATCAATACTGATAAGTTTCGCTTAAAGGTGCGCCTCGATATCGTATCATCCGCAACGTTTTTTTGCACTAGAAATACCCATCGCTAGACTGTGGATTTTTATGCAAAATAAAAATTGTCCGCATCCAATACAAGACGCTTCTCTGATTTAGATGAGTTGCGAATAATACAATAATGTTACCAATTTCTCCAAAACGTTTTTACTGGTTTCAGAACGATCCACACATTTCTGTCATAAATGTATACTATTGGGTTGGCAACTAAGTAATTGCCGATTTGTCCAGTTGCTAACATTCACGGATAATAAAAAATAACATAATAATAATAATAATATAATAATAATATTATTAAATTATAATAATATTAATTACATTATTATTAAATTATATATTAATTATAATAATATTCTTAATATTATTAAAATATTATAATATAACATTTACGGATATCATAAAAATGGTAGTGAGTGACATCAATAACTGAAAATCGGCAATTACTTAGTTGCCAACCCAATACAATGTATACTACTCGTCACAGCATCGAAGCCTGGCGGCTTTTCTGTCTCGCCTGTAAGAAGCTCGCCGACCGCAACGAAGCGCGTTTGCTCACCTTCGATGATAGTTTCGACGCTCGCGGTCCGTGATCTCAGTCTACAGCCGTCCTCGGCCCTTGCCCTGGAGACGACGAGGACCACCTCGGACCTGGGCTGCTTCAGCACCGCCAGGCTCTCCCTGTGCGTGAGTCCCCGCGTGCTTCTCCCGTTGATGCTGAGGATCCTGTCGCCCCTCTGCACCCTGCCGTCCCTGTCGGCGATCGAGTGCGCGAGCACTCTGTGCACCGTGATCTCCTTGACTTCGCAGTCGGCCCCGCCCGCCAGCGTGATCCCCACGCTGCCGGCAGGGTTCTCCTTGTGCAGCAGCACGACGATCACGTCGTGAGCACCTCTGGCTTCCTCGAGGCTGGCCTCCTCGACCAGCTGCGCCAGCTCCTGCTGCGAGATCAGGCTGGTGCTGCTCGCCAACGAGCTGATGCTGCCGAACTGCTCGCTGCAGCACCTGTCCGTGTCCACGTCCGTGCCTATCGGAGACAGATTCTCGTCGACGCTGCTGTCCAAGCTCGGGAACCTGTTGTGGCTGGCTACAGGAGCGGGCTGGAGCGGGCTGCTGGGTGCCTCGATCTTCTCCAGCGCTTTCTTCATGTCCGTGACGCTGGCGCTCCTGCGGCTCAGGTTCCTCGTGGTCGGGATCTTCGATAACATCTTCGACTTCTCCGTCTCCGTCGTCTCGTCCACGTTATCGGCGAGGCGGGGCTTGCCCAGCGTCGGTATCTTCGAGACGAACGGCTTATCGTCGTTCCAGGAATCGCTCGTGGTCGCCGAGCTCCTTCTACCGTACCGGTTGTCTTTGGGCTCCCAGAGCGTCTTATTCTGGCAACCGGTGCTCCTCTCCGCTCTCGTCTCCACGCTCTGCGTTCGGGCGAACTTCGCCTCCGACTTCGCGCTCAGGATATCCTCCAGGCTCATCTGGCTCTTGGACCGGCCGAAGCTCCCGTCGTCCACGTGGATCGCTGATCTGGACCTGCTCTTCGTGGTCAGGATCGTCAGCAGGTCGTTCTGGTCCTCGGGGATCTTCTTCGGCGACTCGTTCGCTCTGCCTCGCGGCTTCAAGGTCTCGTTAGCCTCGCCCTCGTTGTTCCGTTTCCCCGGCGACAGGTTCACGCCGTGAGCAATTTGCTCGTTCTCGACCGCCTTGCCCTGCCTCGCGGTCTCCGCGACCGGCTCCGGCTTCTTCTCGATCCTCTTCGTCGACTTCAGCTCCGCCGACCTGGCCAGCGCTTTCGCCTCGGTGCGCACCCACATCTTCAGGTCGTTCGACGGCTCCAGCAGCTCCGACTTCGGCGGTCTCGCGATCGGCGGCGGCACGCTCCTCTTCGGCGGCAGCTTCGGCTCCTCCTCCTTCGGGAAAGGGTCGTCGTTCTCCGGGAAGGAGCTGTCGGTCACCTCGATGTAGGCGATCTTCACGTCCTGAGGACCGGCCACGGTGTTCTTCGGCCGGATCTTTGGCCGATCGTCGCCGTTCTCCGACGGATGATCCGCCTCGGCGAACTTTCGTTGTATCAACGGCGATCCGTTCAGGTCTCTGCCGCTCCGACACCTGGCGCTCGCCAGGATGTTCTTCCGGTTGATGGCCTCGACGCTCTGCGGCTTCAGGACCCGCCTGGACAACGACTCCGCGCTGGCCTGCGAGCCCGACGTCAGGGTCGACGAGGTGCTGCAGTTGGTGTCGGTGCTGTTCGACCGTTTCAGCTGTCTCTGCGGGATCTGCGAGGTCCTGGCCAGGCTGGACTCCACCGGCTGCGGCGATCTGGGGTCCGAGCTGCTGCTGCTGGAGGACGATCTCTCGGACATGAACGTTCTCTCGTTGACGAGGCTCGCGCGGCCGTAGTCCACGGCGTTCGACTCCTTCGCGTACGTCCTCGTCGGGCTGTCCATGATGAGGGCCCGGTGCCGGTAGCTGGTCTCCGTCGACATGTAGGACCTCTCCGACGAAACGGTCGACCGTTCCGACGGGACCGGCGACATCGGCGGGCTGAACCCTCTGGAGATGCTGCTCTGCGAGCTGCTCACCGCCGAGTCGTTGTCCGAGTCGTCGTAGTCCATCCGGGTCTTCCTCTGGGCCGTCTTCGGCCTGCCGCGCAACCCTTCCGGCGAGCTCGCCGTCGAGGCGAACTCGAAGCTGTAGTCGCTCCTCGTCGGGCTGCAGATGCTCTCCAAGCTCTTCGGCGGCTCGGACATCGGCGGCGTCGTGGCGGTCGTCGTCGGCGACGACTGCGAGCAGGTCTTCGCGGTACCGTTCAAGGCCGAGCCGTTGCCGGACGTGCCGTACACGGCCAGGCTCTTCCTCTTGAACGCCGGCGAGTACTTCGAGTGGATCTGAGGCGCCGGCATCTTGAAGGACGTCGTCGCCTTCAGCGGAACGCTCGCCGTGCTCGCGTTGCTCGCCAAGGAGCTCTGCGAACCCCACTTGTCCTGTATGTTGGACCTCGGGATCTGAAACAACGGGCAATCGCATTATCTTCTGCATTCGGAGTCGGAGAGTTAGCAATTTCAGGGGGGAGACTCGTGCGACGCGAGAGAGAAAAATTGCCAAATTGTTTGGCAATTTTTTGATGACATGAGATCTTGATGGAATTCGTCGCCGCTTGGCACGTGGATTCTTTAAGGTTTCAAGATACGAAATGTCTTTTTGTTTTCATTTTATTTGATCGATTCTTCATGTAATGGTATTGTGGACTTCCACGTCGACGGCGTGCGGTGTAGCGTGTCTTTTCTTGAATGTAGAAAGAAAATTCAAACGTCATTTTCTTTGTAGTCGTTTTGCGCGTCGTATGAACTAACATTCTTCACAATAGTAATTGTTTACACTATGTTTATTGTATAATCAAGATAGAAATGTATGGTAAGAATAAATTTTTTTGCGTTCAGAACCGCGTATCATCGGTAATTTTGCATTTTTTGAGGAGGAGTTCAGTTCATACGACGCGGAATGCTATTACAAAGAAAATGTTGCTCGATTTTTTGTTCTAAATCGAAGGTGAAAGGTGCACAAGAAATAAACATATACTAATTATTTAACGTTATCATTAACATTATTATCAACATTAAAAGTCGATAAAATGTCCTATTGGCCAGTTGAGAGTAAAACTTGTTACCACTGCTCCATCAACTACGGACAAAGAAGAAAATGTAACGGAAAACAAACATTTTGCATCTTGAAATGTCAAAAAATCCACCACGTGCCAAGCGGCGATAAATATCATCGAGGTCTTATGTTATAGAAAAATTGCCAAACGTCGCCACTCGTTTAACCGCTTAGCTGCGTCGATCTACTTTTTTAAGATCAATTTTGCATGCGTTCTATCGATCACACCGGGCGCAGTTTCCTTCGGCAAGTTGTTTTGGAATTATTCTAAACTGTGCGAAATTTATGAATACGTTTCACAAGCATTTTTGCCTATATATTATAATATTATATTATAATATTATAATAATATTACATTATAATATTATATATATATATAATAATAATATTACATTATAATATTATATATATATATATATAATAATATTATATATTATATTATGATATTATATTATATATATATTATAATATATAATATTATTATATAATATTATATTATAATTATAATTATATAATTAAATAATATTAATATTATAATATAATATTATATATATTATAATATATAATATTATAATAATATAATATAATAATATTATATATTATTATATTATTATATTATAATTGCCTTAACGCCGAGACGACAGAGCACATTCTAGCTACACCAGAACAAGAAAACCAAGGAACTGCTCCCGGCGAGATATTTCCACGATCGCCTCTCTCAGGATCTGTTCGCTGACCTGGTGCAGCAGTATGGAATCCCGCGATTTGATCTCCGGCAGGTCGACGATGGGAGCTTCGATTGGTATCGCCTCCTTCTCCGGGATCACCAAGCCCCTCAGCTTCGATATCGACCGCCTCCTCTGCTCGATCAGCTGGTTCAGACTGGTCCTCCTGATGTCCTCGCTGGGTCTGCGGATCGTGGAGGCCAAGGAGTTGGTCCTGTTGATCTGCGAGGTAGCGAGCAGGTCGGGGGAGCAGACGGTGGCACCTCGGTCCTGCAGATAAGGCGTCGACCCGGAGAAGCTGGTCGCCCTGATCAGCGCGGTCGTCGCGATCGCTTTCGTTGGCACGCTCGAAGAATTCTGGTGATTGCCGAGATTCGCCGGCGAAACGTTGTTCTGGGAACTGGCTGTCGGCGACGCGTAGCTCTTCAGCGGGGACTTGGGCCCCGAGCCGACCAACGGAATAGCCGTCGAGACGACCGGCTTCGGCGGCACCACCGGGAACGTCTTCGAGGTGTGGATCGTCGGCGGGGTGAACGAGGGGCTCTGGGGCAGGCTGGGCGACCTCTGGCCGTATTTCCGGCTCACTTCCGGCCCCACGCTGCGCCCGGAGTCCGTCAGGTCGAAGGAGCTCTGGGTCCTGTCCGCGAAGAAGGACGCCCTCTCCTTCTGGCTCGGTGTCTTCTCGTCGCTGCAGACGTCCTCCGTCGACTTGTACTTCGACAGCCTTCGGCCGTTCGTGGTGGCCGCTGCCACGGTCACCGAGCTCGGGAACAACGGCCCGTCCAGGCTGCTCTGCGACGAAAACATGGCGATCTTGTCCCGGACCGACCTCTCGGACTTGTCGTCCTGCCGCCACAGCTCTCCGTTCAACGAGAACTTCCGCTGCGGCGGCTCCAGCGCCGGAGAACTCCGCGAGTACAGACCTGCCGGCTCCACCTTGGGCGGACCTGGCGAACGAAAGGGGTAACAGCTGTTGTTTAGCCAGTCTTTCGAGGCGGTTTAAAAGGGACCTCCGACGTTTCGTTAACCCCTTGACATACAATGACGAGAGTCGGGGGGTCGTGATTCGTTTCACGCGCCGCTGCGGACTTCGACGAGTTCAACGCGTCGAGAGCTGTGGAAACGTTCGCCGCGCGGTGTATTATTAGATTACGCAGTTGCTTCGCTCGGGCGTCGAGTCTGGTTTGTTTACAATGCTCAAGACGCCCCACCCGAACACCTTCGCGACGAAAATAATAACAAAGTTGCGTGCGTACATCAATAATCGAAATTTTAAAATGGAACTTCCTCTTTTTTTTAGTTTGTATATAATTGTTCAGTTGAGTTTGAATTCTGTTTTAGTTGTATGTCAAGGGGTTAATATCGAAGCGAAATTTATTTGTTTCTCGCGCCATGTACCGGAAGTCGATTGCAAAAATTCCACGAAATCTAAATTGAGTTTTTTTTCGGTTAATATCGAAGCGAAATTTATTTATTTCTCTCAAGGTTATATTCAAGGTTACGTCAAGGTTATTGATAATATTCTTCATATTTCTCTAACATAACTTAACGTAAATACCTTAACATAAATTTCATATGTTGACCTTGACATTACCTTGACATAACCTTGACATAACCTTGACAAAACCTTGACATATCCTTGAATACAACCTTGACATATCAAGGTTATGTCAAGGTTATATCAAGGTTATGTCAAGGTTATGTTAAGGTTATGTCAAGGTCAAAATATGAAATTTTTAAGCAAGGTAAGTATGTAAATAATATTTTAATTTAAATAATTCCGTGTCCGAACACAGTTCAACGAACGATTCGCAAAGCTAATTTAATAAGTAATAATCGTGTTAAAGGACGTAAGGGATATGTTTGTTAGAGAAATATATGAAGAAAAATGAAAAAACAATTCATAAACCCTAGGCCAGGGGTGTCAAACTCGCGGCCCGAGATGAACATTTTTGATGTCAAGTATCAGGACGTAAACAATAATTTAACTTTATATATGTTTATTACAATATGTACTACTCAAAATAAAAATATTTGTTTCTACGAACATTGATTTTTTTTTTGCGGCCCAAGTTAGCTTTTGAGTTTGACACCCCTGCACTAGGCAATCGAGATGAAAACAGTGAAAGAACCCCGACAGAAGGATCAATGGAGAAAATTGATCCTTACCGGTTAATGGCAGAGGCGGCGGCGTGTCCAACGGCTCCTTCTCCTTGTGGTCCTGCGGCTCCTCGACTACCGTCGCCGTGTCTTTGTGATAGTAGCCGGTGATCTCGACCTTCTTCTCGGACACCAGAGCGTTACCGTTACCCTGATTCCCGTATCCGGCGTAGTTGGTCACGGACGCCGGTTTCTTGGGGAAGCTGTCCAGGACGCTGGCGTCCTGACAGACGCTGTCGACGCCCGTTTTCCCGTTTATCTCGTTCGCGGACAGGCCGAGCTTGCCGGCGTCCTGCCGGCCGTTCTCGACCGCCGACAGGCCGACCCTGTTGTCCGGCAGAATTATGCTCGCGGTGGTGACCACGTTCCCGTCGATCAGCTTGAAGCTCTCGGCGCCGATGAACGTCTCGCTGTCGGCGCACACGAGGCCCCCGTTCGCCGTCATCGCCGACGCCCTCGTGGCCGCGCTCGCTGTCACGAATCGGTACTGTTGGCTACCGCCGCCGAACTCTTGGTACGCAGCTGGAAATTCGTCCCCGTCCGGGGGCAGGCGCTGACCGCCTCCGCAGTTGTCCATCCTACCATTTACCGTCCCTGGAACATAACGTGCCGTCGTGACCTTTTTTTAAAGAAATTGTTTTTACGTTTCCCAAGCACGGTATGCGAACTATGGATGGGATTGAGTTCAATTTACAGGGTGGTCTGTAATTATGTTGCAGTTGGAAAAGGGTGATTCCTGAGGTCATTGGAAGTAACTTCTTCCTTTACAAAAATTTTCTCCGAGGCGCCGTTTACGAGTTATTAACGAAAAACAGTGACCAATGAGAGGCGAGGGCGGCGCGAGGCGGTCGGGCGCCCTGTTCCGCTCATTGGCTCGGACGCCTCGCGCCAGTCGCGCTCGCCTCTCATTGGTCAGTGTTTTTCGTTAATATCTCATAAACGAAGCCGCGGAGAAAATTTTTGTAAAGGAAAAAGTTATTTCAAATGGCCTGAGGAATCACTCTTTTGCGGGTGTTCACGTAATTATGGGACACCCCACACGAGCTTTCGTTTGTCCTAACGATCTCATATCGTATTATTCTCGTTCATTTCGTCGGCCTCTCATTAGTTTTTAAATAATAACAATATATCTTATAATAATAATATAATATAATATAATATATATAAAATAATAACAATATAATATCTTGATCACTTACTTTACCTTCTTTTCTATCATTTCCTATAGTTGCTTATTTTTTATATGCTACTTGTGCGACATATTGTCATACTATTGTATAATAATAATATGAATAAGTATAAGTATAAGTATAATATAAATAAGTATTATTATCGTTATCATTATTAAATCTTCAATAACCCCTCGCCCCCTTGAATCGTTAAAAAAGGTCAAGCCACAATCGTCGAGAAACAAAAACGCGTAAAAATCACCGATACTTCTACGTCCTAAAACAAATAACCCCCACCTCCCTCCCCCTTAAATCACACATCTCATTTAGCCCCGGGCTATATTAATTCACGGACGATCGAATACGGGGGAAAAATCGCATCGAACACGCGGACCGCGAGTTACGCCGCAACATTAGCTTCGCCGCAACATTATCATCGTTGCGCGATGCCATAATTCGACGGTTATGATCATCGGACACACCGGATCACATTGAAATCCTTCGATCAACGTTGCAAGCCGTTACCAGCTAGAAACCGATTGGGTAGAATACCGTATGTGAAAAATCGGCGGATTTCACCGCGCGTCGACGGCGTTCGAAGACCTTTAAGCATCGAATATCGCCGATTCGCTCCGCTCTCCGATTCGAGCCGCGGATAGAACCTTCCCGGGACACGGTGTGCAACTGTTCACGCTCTAAAATCCAAAATGACCGGCGTGGTATCGAGATCGGCGAACGGTATCCTATCCGAGTATCGTTTCGTTCGGCCGCAGCCGGTTTTCCGCGGTGCATTATCGATGTCTCCCGTGCAGAGGTATCCGTTGCGAAACGTTCCCGACGAAAAGCCGGGCAACCGTTGCCCGTTCCGGAATGCCGCGGGATCGATTCGTAAATTTGCGCACGCGGAAACACTTCAATCTGCGGCGGCGGCGTCGGCTTTAAAGGTCGCCGGTTCGATCGGCTATATACATATACATACATACATACATCGGAAATAATCCGTGATCGCGATTCGTGCCGCGCGCGCGCGTGTACGAACCGTGGATTAGCCGCGGATCGGTCCGGCCCGGCTCGGCCCGGCCCGGTGGAATCTGTTTTATTTCGATCGATCGAGCCGCGTAAGAGCGCGCGGATCGGGATCGCCGCTCGCCCTGAGCGGATTCGCAGCTCGTGCGTAAAAGCCTCGTGCGCGTAGAACCGATCGGTTCACGCTCGCGTGCACTCGGTGTTGCAACGCGTCGTCCCCGCGACCGATCCGCTCGAGCATTTCGCGAGCCGCAGGATTCCAGCGGCCGGGAAAACTGCGACCGAGCCCCGATAACGCGCGCGCGCGCGCGCGTGGTCGTTCTTGAAAACGCTGACACGATCGTCGAATATTTCCTCGGACGTTGATTCCTCGTTTATCGCTCGGGGAGGACAGGCAGCGGGAGGGAAACCGGCCGTACGGTTCAACGGAGGAATTTTAATCTACGTGAGAGCGGCAATTGAGATATTCCCATTTGGCGCGCGGTGCGCCTCGGAACGGCGCGGTACGGCGCGACTAGTGAATCGATGCTAATGTTATCGATGTTATTCGGTCGATCCGATTCCGAGGTGCTCGATAGCAGGCATCGATATGTATCGAAGTTTTTGGGTACCTAGAATCACGACGCGAATGTCGACACTGAGATTTCTCAAAATGATACCAAACCAATACTCATAGTAGAAAAAGGAATCGTTTAAAAGACAATGCTGTGAATAAAATAATATTTCTTAATGATATTTTATTTATTATCTTTGTGTTCATTTTTATATTTACTTCTATATTTATTATATTTATTTTTATATTTATTTCTATATTTATTATATTTACTTTCATATTTATTTCTATATTTATTATATTTATTTTTATATTTATTGTATTTATTATTTATTCATTACATTTGTTTTCATATTTATTATTTTATTTACATTTCACACGTGAATACATATAATATAACTGTATGTACGGATATATGAAACAACATTATTTATTAATAAAAAAGTACTGTATAAATAGTAAATAGTACTTTTATAAGTACTACTTTTATAAGTAACAGTAATAGTAGTAATAAAAAGTACTATATAAAGTATAATCCGAAAAATAGTACATGTGAGTCTTTATGTTTTTTATGTTTCTTATGTCTTCTCCTTGATTCCTATTTCCTCGTGTGTTGTATTAGTATCGGTACTGTCGTTCTGTGTAAATTGTTACTTCAAAAAGTAAAGAATGTATTAATGTATCTTACTTTAACGTAAAAAGTAAAGAATGTATTAATCAGGCATCGATATTCCCGTAAAATCATCGGCCAGATTAAATCGATATTTTAGAGTACCTATCGAAGACGTATCGAATATGTTCGATGCCTACGTTTTCGATACAATTCAGCATTGGATCGTAATTTTGTCGACTGGTATCGATTGGTATCGATGCGATATCAGTTTCGAAACTAGGCGCGACTCACGTCTTTACGATTCACGATTCGCGCTCGCCGTTTCTGCCTCGAAGGTCGCCGATCGCCGAACGTGCCCTGAATCGCCGACGAGAGGAAAAAATACAGACGGCCCAGTTTTCTATCGATATCGCGGAACGTGTCCAATAGCGCCATTTACAGATCAAAGGATCGTTGTTAATTGCCGCCATTGTGGGGAACGGCTGTTTCTTGACACGTTCGCCGCGGCCGTCACGTATCCGTTCGTATCCGACGCGCAAAAATTCCTCGAAACCGAGGGAATTCGTTTGACGCGACAAAAACTGGAATGACAGGATCCGTCGAAGCGATTGTTCTTTTCCTGAATTAATTCGTCGGAAATCGGCTCGGTAATCAATTTCGTGACTGCGGGACGTTTCTCGATTTATGAAAATTATTTGAGAAGGATGAATGTCGCACAATGTCTTCCGTGTCTTGTAATTGACTCAGGCGATTTCTGTTCCACGTGAAAGATCCGCGGTCTCACGATTACAGGCTCGAAGCAACTTCTATATTTTTCATGATATTTAAACGAGAATAAAATGGCAGAGAAAATAGAAGAAAATAATAGAAAATAGAAATATAGAAATATAGTTTTTTTCTAGTTTCTGTGTGTAAGTATTTTCTGTTAATTCTAATATAGAAGTGGATTATTTTGTTGTTTTCGTTTAGATATCAGTAACAATGTAAAAAAATGTTACTTCGAGTGTGCAATTATGCACCTCGCACGTCAGTTTTTCTTGCAGATAACACTTTATACGTATACTAGAAATACAGTAAATATATCGCTGTTCTAATTCAATACTGAGACATTAAGAAAACAACCTGATTTCGAGACATTTTACTATTTCATATCAAATAGTATTATCCGAATAATGCAACACCGACGTATCTTTAAATGCACAAGGCAAAAGCATTAATCGCAATATTCCATTGTTCCATTTCTAAGTTCTTTGCGCGTATCTACAGAAATATTGAGATATCAAAGACCAGGTTACCATTCTACAAAATATTTGCAAATTTAATATATATTGGTAAACAAAAATTTAGTGAAAATAATATTATTTTATATTACTATATTACTATATTATTTTATATTACTATACTATATTATTATTATATTATTATTTATTATAACTATATTATTCTTATATTATTTTCAAAAAGCAAATTATTATCGGGAAAATAGCTCTTTAAATGCCGTTTTCTCTAAACTTCATTATTGAATTAGATCAGCGATACGTCCCAAAAGCCAATGTAGAACAGTGAAAAATTTTGTTTAGCAAAGATCGAAAAGAATGCCCAAGAAACGCGCGTTTAAACCGCGATGCCGTCGCAAACGTTCCACGTAGGAACGGCACGGTGTCCGCGGTTCAACGTCCGTCACGAAGAAAACGCCTGAATCGTCACCTGCTCGAGTCGATTCTCACCTGGGACGTCGCCGGGCGGGCACCCGAAAGCCAAGGACATCGGCGCCGCTGCGAAAAGGCCGCGAACCGCTGGTTTATTATCGCCGTTTTTACGCAATCGCGTTACTTTCACGCGTCCCGATCGGCGCGGCGTCCAGCCGAGCCGCGAGCCCGCTCGGGAATCGGTCGCGGATCCGCGGCAACCTGATCGCGCGGATCCAAGGATTTCTACATTCTAACGCGCGCGGCACCCACTGATAAAGCCGGCCGCGTTATCTGCGGGCGTGTCGGCCAGCGGTTTCGCTCGGAATCGCGGAAAACCCGCGGAATAATATGTATATTTATCACAAATGCCTTTCGCGATCGGCCCGAGCGCGCGCGCGCTTCCGCGTTTCACTCGGAACCCCGCCGAGGAATCTCGAATTTTTATTGTTCCTCCGTGCGCTCGTTACCGCTTTTATCGGGACAGCCGTAAACAAGAACGCGATTTTTTTTTCTTCGTCCAAGCTGAGCGTATTTCCATTTAT